TATCATTTAATTTATATATATATTGATATACAGTTTTTTTCATTTTAAATGAAAAAATTCCGACCACGAGTTTATCGCCTTAGTTTACGTGATTTTTGTTGATACATGCGCTAAGTACAATTTCCTTTTTATGCTTATCATAAAGCCATAGAATTTATTTTACGGTACAATTACGTCATTTATAATACCAATTAACGTGACAAGCAAAACAGAAAATCAGAAAAAACAACAACAACAAAAAATATCTTACACTATTACTTTATTATTGCATCCTAATCGTAGAAAAATTGTTATCAATTATTGCTTAATTAATTAATAACCATTATTACTATTTTCCCTACAAACAACACCTAAAAAGTTTATATAGAGGGTGAGCAATGTAGGTTATGTTAGGAAAGGACAGGATATTAGCATTTTCATTTTAATGTAATTTTTAAACCTTCCCTTTGTATATAGAAAACTATTAATCAAGTTAGGATCCAAGATCTAGAAGATTTACACCGTTCGAAGATAAGAAAATTCCGACAATTCAGACTGAAAATGGGTAAAACTGAACTTGTTTTTCGCACTAACCAATTAGTAGGTCACGCAGTTGTACCTACATTTTAAGTTCCTATAACAATAACTCAAGATCATATAAAATCAAAATGCTCTTTCAGTTCTGTAATAATTTAGCCAGAATTTAATTTTTGTATAATTTTGCATCAGCTTTTCGAGTTAATCTAATTTCCGGGGTGGACCAGCACATGGGTCAGAATTTCCGCGATGCATGGACCCTGGGCCAGCCGGGCCCTACCCATAACTATGTCCCTGAATTGAATTAAACATTACATACATTTATAAAAATTAAGATCATTTTCATCTACAGGGGATATTGTTTATAATGGCGAGAGGAGTGTTTGGTCGTAATACATACAGGGTGTTCCACCTAAGGCGGTTTCATCTATAACTCTATTATTATACATTTATTAAAGAAATGTTTTTATAAAAGTAGTCTGGAATCATATGGTGCATATACAGAAAATATTTTTAGTTATACAGGGTGTTGCATTTCTTCTGGACGCTACTTAAATTCGTTATTTTAAATAAAATACCTGTATATTTTTACATTTTTGGTTTCTTTGTTTAAATTTAGGTAGACTTTGTTAACTATAGGTATCTATCTCGAGTAGTTTTTGAGATATCGAAACCTACTTTTACAATCTTACCAAGACGAATAACTTTTTTTTTCAAATAGAATAATCCACATTAAATCGTACCGTTCAATGCGAAATTTAAAGTCCATTCTACTAATATAAGGTTTTAAATGTTTATCTCTACAGTTTCTCCGAAAAAATCAATTATTCTATGTTTAAAAACTAATATCAGTACAAAAGGGCTTTTAATTTCGCATCGAATGATATCATTTAATTTGGGTCATTCCATTTGAAAAAAAAAGTTATTCGTTTTATAAGATTGTCAAAAGTAGATTTCGGTATTTCTGGTTCTGGATAGCGAACACATTTTATCCATAGCATTCAAAAACAGTTAAATATCTCGAAAACTGCTAGAGACAGGTAAAGGGAACTGTAAACAAAGTATACCTTTTAAAGAAACAAACCAAAAATGTAAAAATATATAGGGTGGCCCATTTAAAATAAGGAAGCTAGGTAGCGCCCAGAAGAAATGGAACACCCTGTATGACGAAAAATATTTTCTGTATATGCACCATATGATTGATTCCATACCACTTTTATAAGAACATTTTTTTTACTAAATGTTTATTAACAGAGTTATGGACAAACCACCTTAGGTAGAACAACCTGTACACTTGTATTTAAAACATATTTCTATTTTGCATTTAATGTATTTAAATACATTTTTGAGAAAAGTATTAGACGTCTTCGTTGTAATAACCGGTATGTCGCTATATCAAATGCCGTTATAAACGGTGCTTGTTGTATTATGTATTTAGATAAAATTTAGCCCAAATTCTGTTAAGATGTACCTAGATGTACTT